AATATATATATATATATATATATATATATATATATATATGTTAGTTTTTTATTATACTTTATTATTTTCGTTTTTTATGTGTATATTATACATAAATAGATTTTTCATTTTTTTATTTTAAAATAATTTTAAAACTCCAATTTGAAAGTACTCCCCAATTTGAATTGATAATTCATTATTTTTTTAATTTCGTGTTTTACTTTAAAATAATTTAAAAATTCAAACTTGAAACTACTCCCACCCAATTTGAATGGGTAGTTATTTTTTATATATTTAATTTTCGTTTTTTTAGTTATATTTAATTATAAGATATCTATTTTTATTAATCCAAATAAAGTAACCAATTAATATATATGGTAGTTTTTTATTGTATTTTATTATTTTCGTTTTTTATTGTATAATATCAAATNATTTTCGTTTTTTATATGTATTTAAATTCAAAAATAAGTAACCAATAACTAATTAGTAATCAATTATGCCATGTGGCATTTTTTTAGGCTGCCACTTGGCTTAAGGAGAGGGCTTTTTCCTCTCCTTTTAATAATGTATAGATTTTTTATAATAACTTCATTGATTAACTGGAATCTTATGACACGATACAATATATACTCCTAATATTTCAACCTTCCCCATTTACTATTAGGAAAAAGTCTTGTCATTTGCCGTTCGCGTGCGCGCCACTTTCATCTCATCATTTTTAATTAGTCCCTCCCTTGGCCACTGTCACAGGCAAAAATGGCTGAGAAAACTTCTGACCATACTACTCCCCTCCTTCGCCGCAGCTGGTGGCGCAGCCACCTTTCCACCCTTCCATTCACCACTTCACTCCGTCTCAAAACCTCCCTCCTCTCCGAACTCGGCGGCTCCGTCGGCGACTTAGGCACTTACATCCCTATTGTTCTAACACTAACCTTAGTCTCCCATCTCGACCTCAGCACTACCCTTATCTTCACTGCATTCTACAACATCATCACCGGCGCTCTCTTCGGAATCCCGATGCCCGTTCAACCCATGAAATCCATTGCTGCCGTTGCCGTTTCCGAGACACCTCACCTCACTGTTCCTCAAATCGCCGCCGCTGGTATCTCCACCGCCTCCACCCTTCTCTTCCTTGGAGCCACCGGCCTTATGTCCTTTTTCTACCGCTTTATTCCTCTCCCCGTCGTCCGCGGCGTTCAGCTCTCTCAAGGCCTCGCTTTTGCTTTCTCTGCTATTAAATACATACGCTATGATCAAGACTTTACGGCCACTACTAAAGCCAGCAGTACAACCCCACGTCCGTGGCTTGGTCTTGACGGTCTTATTTTGGCTCTCAGTGCTGTATCTTTTCTTATACTAGTCACCGGCTCCGGTGAAGTTGTTGAGGACGACGACGAAGACAGAATTATTGTAACCAACGACCGTGATCAACCCAGACTTCGGCGCAGATTACGTACACTATCAGCAATTCCAGCAGCTCTTATTGTGTTTTTACTGGGGTTGATCTTATGTTTCGTGCGCGACCCTTCAATTATTGGTGATATTAAATTTGGCCCATCAAAGATTCATGTTTTGAGAATCACGTGGGAAGACTGGAAAACTGGTTTTTTACGGGGCGCGATTCCTCAGATTCCTTTATCTGTATTGAATTCCGTGATCGCTGTGTGTAAATTGTCAGCTGATTTGTTCCCAGAAAAGGAAGTGTCAGCTACAAGAGTTTCAGTGAGTGTTGGGTTAATGAATTTGGTGGGCTGTTGGTTTGGAGCAATGCCGTGTTGCCACGGGGCAGGAGGATTAGCTGGACAGTATAGATTTGGTGGGAGGAGTGGGGCATCAGTGGCTTTTCTTGGGTTGGGAAAATTGGTACTTGGACTGGTATTTGGGAGTTCATTTGTGAGGATTTTGAGTCAGTTTCCTATTGGGATACTTGGGGTGCTTTTGTTATTTGCTGGAATTGAATTGGCCATGGCTTCAAGGGATATGAATTCGAAGGAAGAATCTTTTGTCATGTTGGTTTGTGCTGCTGTCTCATTGACGGGGTCCAGTGCTGCACTGGGATTTGGGTGCGGTATTGTGCTATTTTTGTTGTTGAAGTTGAGGCATTTGGACTGCTTTGGTACCGTCATTGGGAGATCAAATTCCAGGTCAAACTTTGATGAAACTGTTCTCAATCCGTAAGACATTTTAGAAGAAAGAGATTTCTCTGAGAAATTATTTACGTTCATATGCAAACTTGTATACCTATTCCACGAGTCTGTATAAAAAGGCTAGTTTCTTGAGCTAATGTCCTTCATAATTTTAATATAGTTGATATTTATCCAAAAAAGATGAAGAAAAGATTCTGTTTTTCATATCTGTTTGTTATGAATCTTGCTCGCAGCATTTAAAAGCCTATACAAAGGAGTCAACATGATTGTTGTTTGGTCCTGGATTAGAGGAAAGAACCTGAACTCCTAATAAATGAAGTTGAACTAAGAGATTGCTCTAAAATGGTGACGAAGAATCAGGAAACACATTTTGTTTGAGTTAGGGAAGATCTTCTTCCAACTAAAGCACTCTCAGAATAGTTAAGTATCTAAAAATAAGGTAGCAATCTGAGCCTAGTGGAGAATTAATGTGCCTCTTGGTGATTGAGTAGTTGTGTGCACTGTTTCAAAACATTGCATTGACTCTTGGTGTGAAAGAGATGTATTCTCCAGAGAAACTTATTCAGATCGGGACAATAGAGTTATTTCTTCACGGTGATTCATTTGGCTATAAGCCGTTGGTTTTCATTACTCTCTAGGCTTTTTATTATAATCGTTGACTTGTCTTTGCACGGTGCAAATCATTAGCCAAAAGATAGTACATACATATACTAACAAAGTTCTGAGTTCTGAATTTTGCTTTACTCTAGGATGTCAGTCAGCATCAATACAATCATACAGGATAGTTCTTATATCTCGATTTCTTCACTTCTCTTTCTAATAGGTGTAAGATCCATCGCCTTTCATCTTTCCTCTTAAGATGATAAGAAACAAATGATATCCTTCTAAATGGTAAGTGTTGTTTCATTTCGCTGCCTTCTAGTTCTAGCTATCTTTATGCTCTTGGTGATCACTGCCCAAGTTTTTTTTCGGATTCTGAACCTTTCAGAGGAGGATGAGGAAATTCAAAGAATTTGCAAGTTTAGATGCCTTTGTGGAAGTTGTAAAGGCGATCTTGCTTTATCCGTATCTTTTAGCATGAAAAGTTTGGAACTGATAGGAAACACGAAAACCCTCTAATTTGAAAATTAGAGATTGGGAACTAGAGGCTGCTCAGCACCAATTATGCTGTTTGATGACAATGACTCTTATGCAGAAAATCCTGTGAAGCAGAGAACCTAATGTGCTTAATGGAGAACCTCATTATACTTCTTTTCAGAAGGCGTAGATTCCTAAAATGGTCTGCGAATGACTGCTGCAAGACAATATTTTAGCTTTCATTCACGAAGGACTTTTGATAATGCTTATTCTTTAATATCCTCACACCTTTAACTCTCACTAGCAGGTGACTGTCAAGGGATGAGAAGTCAAACTAGCTAGAAAATCAGATGCTATAATTTCAAAGCAGAGGTATGACTATAATTACCATTTTTAATCTAACAACTGGTATCTACAGCTTCTGAATCTGTATATGTGTGAGTCTATGAATGATCCCAATATTGTAAAGTTCTTTAAAAGTTCGTTTGAAACATTTGGCATTGATGTAGTTTCAAAGTGCCATGGGACGATGCTCTATAAGAATAGAGGATCAGTCATCACTAGGCTGGAAGACTGAAGTGAAAGATGCTATGTTCAAGAATTCTCGAGTACAAATATGTTCACCAGAAACGAATCTTATCAGACTCTAGAACTGCTAGATTTCTGCTGTCTTGAGGGGATTCTCTCCTTTTGAGAATTCCATCTGGTCACGGGCAAGAACTGATCTGTTTTGGAACAACCATTTTTTCAAAAACATGCGATTCTTCCTCTTAGAAAATCTGCATGGTTGGTTGATTGGGACTTGAGAATGACTCTGATGGATTTGATTCACTAATATGCTTGTCCGTACGTAGCTCATTTTCACACTCACGGCTAAATATTCATTCTGGAACTATCTCTAGCACGAACAGGCTAATGGTCCTTTGCATTTTGGAAGGAACTACATCCTGTGGACCTGTGGAAAAGGTAACATGGATACAGTAATTCCTACTTATCTTATATACAGCCATACTTAAAAAGAGGTCGCCAGTGACTTTATAAATAAAGACAACAGTTATGACTCGAGGATGCTGATGCAGAAAATGATCGCAGATTTTTAAGCATTGGAGAAAATAGAAACCTAGCAGTCCTATTCTATCTAATTAGCTATCTTTCCATGTTAAAGCTCTTCTAGATGCCATGTGGAATAAAATATTTCCCAAACTTATATCAGACTAGAGATCCTCTCTTTAGATCAGTTGTGAGACATAACTGGCCTCACTGAGAGAATGTACCTGGTAGGAATAGAATCCTATACTTCTTTCAATATTTCAGCTGTCTAAGCACTTTACTGAGAAGTGATTTAGTCATCTAATTGAAATCTTCCTCAGAGACTTTATGATCTATATCTGGGGGATGATGCATGCTGTAGACTGTAGTTATTTCCTAATTCTGGCAAGTTGTTTCGAGTAGCAGAAAAGCTGAGAGCAGCATGGATTGTGTGAAAGAAGTGTAGAGCACGCCCACTACTGGAGTATCCGTTGCCAGTCAGCTGAAACCAGAAGATTCATTTCTGTTTCAGTCCAATCACTTTAGAAAAACCATTTAATTCAATACAAGACAATTCCAGGGAGGTCAGTTTTATCCTAAACCTTGAGGCTACATTACCCTTGCTTGTTGTGCATCAATTTTAGCCTCAGCAGGATGTTTGTCGAGCATCTCTATCATGTTGAGAACAAGGTGTATGCCTCTCCTTTTACTTAGGTGAATGTTGAGCTTTTGGTTATGTGAACCCTTTGGTCAATGTACATAGTTTCTCACTTTATAGTGAAGCTATTATACGGTTCTATTGCATCTTGAAATTTCCTCTCTTGATCTTGTTTGTCTTCAATCTAAATCACTTTCAGAAGGTTTCGACATCACTAAGAAACATTGACACAGCCAACTGATAAATGATTTCTTTCTGCCTCAATGATCCGCATAGTTGGTTTTTACAGTTTTCTTTTTTGTGTCAAACTATGTTGGCGGTGGACACGGAGCTAGTGACTCAATTGCGCAACTACTCGGGTATAATTAAGCATTGCTGTTTTCTTCACTAAATAATGGCTAACATTGTAGGTCCAGGCTAAGTCTCTCAACAAAGTTTATTACATTCAGTTCACGGCTCTGATGTTCCTTTTCTGCGTCTATGAGAATATGACCACCTGAGAGATCCTATTAGCACCTAGTACTGTACCGATGACAGGGTAGCAGATTCCAATACGAAGTTTATTTATTTCCTTAATTAATTGTTCACCTATTTGATTATTGTTGCCATTAAACTTTTCATTGTGAACTGCAAGCTGATGGAAGTGAATATCTTAATCCAACAGGTCCTAGAAGTACTTAGACGCATAATGTTGTGCTATCTGTTGAAATAATCATTACTAAACAAAAAAAAAGGACTTACATATGAAGTCTAAATTCAAGTTTCACTGTCACCTTCATTATAACTATTTTTATATATTCGAGATTAATGCATAATTCAGTACTTGGAAAATATTCGGACGGTGCATACTTGCAATCCTAATACACCAAAAAATATACATACCCACCACCTTTATTACTCTAATCTCAGTTTTAAGATAACACTAAAGAAAGAGTCCTCGAACCTTCGTTAGTCGAGGCGGCGCAAGAAGCAGCGAGACTCAAAACCTGTGAGCCGGCGAGAGCCATGGTCGATATGTCAATAATGGTCGAGGTCGAGCACCGTTGATGAAGCTGTAACGGCAAGTTTTCGAAATAGGATATGAATTAGGGTTTACTAGAAATATGTCTCATATAAATAGAGAAAGGGACAATGATATGAGGCATGTGATATTAATTTTTTTAAGAACAAACTTTGACAAAAGATTCTCTCTCTCACTAAGATACAAACACTACCTTTTCATCAAGATTCTTATCTATATTACTCCATATTTTTCCATCAGATCTGAGAATAATTCGAACATTCAAGGATTTGTCTGTCACTCATCATTGTGAGGAGGAACAACCATCTAGTTCATCCTTTATTGGGTGAATCACTCCTCCTATTTACTTAAATGCCATTTATTGTTATTCATTGCTATTAAATGCTACATTATTGCTCATACTTTTTGGAATAGTTATTGCATACTGCTGTCACTTTTCTACAAGATCTATTTGACGCTAATCACATTTTCGGAAATCACATCTAGAAATATTATTATTAACTAGGTTTAATCCATTATCATATAAATTTAATTATTTGAACCAAGAGTTATATTTTTTGGTCGAACAATTTGGCGCCGTCTGTGGGGATTTCTTAGTTAAGCTTTTTGTTTCTTTGAGATCTACAACTAACACGGGTCAGTGACGTAAGAATAAGAGACAAAAATAAGATCTCCTTTCTTTGTGTGCACAAATCCCAACATGGCAAGTAATCGAGAAGAAAAGACGAGAATAATAAGTGACCTACCAACCAACCTCATGAACGTCATCAAAGAAGGCTGTGAAACGGCAGACGAAGGCGCAACGCCCAGTGCCCCCCCAGGTGAGATGGGTCCCCGCCTCCTCACTACAGCATCACAAAATCTCTTGGTAAGGGAGCCTCCACATCTGTGGAGGAGGAGACGCCCCCAGCTATAAAAAAATCTCTTCGAAGCTTGGCTAACTGACACGCTAACCAGCGTCCTCAACAAGCCCGCCCAGGACACAACTACAGAAAATGCAAGGACTTGCACTATCAGCAGACGAGCAGCGCAACCAACTCCCCATCCTCCAACGACATGTATCACTCACAATATAATTAATAACGCAGGTGGCAACGCCCTCGCAACCATTTTGAAAAGGATGGAGGAAATGAAGAATAAGAACAAGGCACTCCAAGATCAAATGAAAGAACACCAAGAAAGGGTCGATAAAATACTGGGCTCCCCCAAGCTGTTGCCGAAGAGGGATGCCGGTCGGTTCGTCGAACAGCCGTACAGTGATGACGAAGCCCCACATGCTATACCAAAAACCTTTAAAATGCTGCCCTACCTCACAATATACGACGGCACAACCGACCCCCAAGATCATGTGAATCATTACGTCACCTCCATAAAAGGCAACAACCTCTCCAAGGAACATGTATCTTCCATTTTGCTGAA